CCGGTGGTGCTCGGCCGGGAGCCGGGCCGGGGCCGGCGGTCCTGAGCTGGGAGCCGGGCCGGGGCCGGCGGTGCTCGGCCGGGGGCCGGGCCGGGGGCGCTCGGCTGGGGGCTGGCACCCCAGGGCCCGAGCCGAGCGGGAGACGCCGGGGCCAGAGCCTCTTGGCCTGGGCCGGCCAGCTGCCAGAGGGAGCCGCTTGCTGGACTGGGCCACCCTGCCCCAGCCCCAGCTTACCTGCTGCCTCCGTTTCAGGCTTCCCGCGAACATTTGATTCGCGGGAAGCAGGGGAGGGGGAGGGGAGGGGCGGAGCGTTCAGGGGAGGGGGCAGAGTTGGGGCGGGGACTTTGGGGAAGGGGCAGGGTGGAGTTGGGGCGGGGCCGGGTCCCTGTGGAGTGTCCTCCTTTTTTAAAATTAAAATATGGTAACCCTAGAATAAACCCATTTCAAATCCCATTGAAGTCAATGGAGAGAAACCTCCTGGCTTTGATGGGGGGTTCACCCCTGCCCAACCTATTGAATGTTTTCTAAACAATGGCAGAGACTGCCCTTCGTCTTCAATCTTTTCACAAAAGAAATATTTTCTTCCTGTAGTATAAAATAAGAAAGAAAGAGATCTCCTGATCTGAGATAAAAGAGCAGTGAGTTCCTACCATGAATGATAAAAATGGTAATCAACCAGGATTTGCAGTTTTCATTATTTAGCACTTTGCTAGTATGAGACCCCAGCAGACGGGTGTGGTCTCCTCTCTGTCAACTGTTGAGTTATTGCACCAGACCTGAGGCACACTCTCAGCCCCTGTCCATTATCTGATTTTGAATTTTAACAAACAAATGGCATTCGTGTTACTATATGACAACTCCGACGCTTACTCAGTGCTTCTAGTACTAGCTAGAGTTTCGGTTCAGCCCATTGCAAAGATATACAATTTGTTGAATTTGGATTTGGTTTGGATTTCCAAGCTGTAGAAGGTGTTGGAATCTGGAGGTTTGATTCTGGCCATCTCCAGTGATAATTATATGCCTAGAAAATGGCATGTAGCATTGCCATGTACTTCTATCTACTTGCAAAATCCATTCAAAAGAACAGAATGTCTTAGTCCATTTTCTTTTAATTGGATGAGAAAATGGCCTGTAAGTTACATTGGAAAGAATCTTGACTCCAGACTTCCTAATGTTACTTCACAGTACCATAAAACAGTGCTAGCTAAGTAACTGCAAAGGGAAATTCTTTACAGTAGTCACTAGAAGATGAATAGCTTGTATAAAGAAGGGTCTTCATCACCCAGAGCACCCCACATCAACAAAGAGAATAGAAAACATAACAAAAATTCGGAGACAACTGACTTAGCGAGAAACACCAGCTATGAGTATCACCCCAACCTTTGTGATTAGGATTTTCAAAGGAGTCTACAGGAATGAGCTGCCCAAATCTCACTAAAATCCCATGGCATTTTTTGTAGGAGTTCACTTTGGTGTCCTTACCCTTGCCTGAGGATTGTAAAGCAAGATGCTGTGTTCTGTTCATGCACCCAGCTGCCATCTTTTGCCCCAGATGTGGCCACATTTCAGTGGTGTCATAGCTATTTTGTGAAATGTGTGGGACATTTCTGGATGAAAGACACTACTACATATGAATATTTTTAGGTTCTAACTCCTCTCCCCCCAAATCTTTCATTCTTGCCATCTTGTTAAGCATACAGATTCTGCCTAAACAAAGCACAATATGTGGGATTGCATAGGTCCCAAGAAAGTAGATCATGCTTGCACAATAAAAATGCATTTTGTAAATATTTTCAAAGGTATCTGCCTTCCCAAATAACCTGTCGACAGGTCTCCAAATTAGGCTTGCTGGTAAAAGAGTGCTAGGACCAATATCTTCTGAAATTCCTTCATATCAGCATAAGAACCAATATCAAGTCATATAATTCCCCTACAATGTCCCAGTGAGAATTTGGTTAGAATTGACTTCATAATGTTTTAGCTGTAAGTAGTGATGATTTAATCTTGTTTCTGTTATTAATTTTGGCAGGGAGTCGTAAAGAAACTGTGCCTGAATTGCTTATAGGCGAATATCCTACTCTTTAATGTGACTTCTTAATTTAACTTGTCACTTTAACAACTAGATTATTGACATCAAATCATTTCTTCCTGGCCTCTATCTAATTTTCTTCATCTCTGAAGCTCTACTACTGCTAGTCCGCCTCCTCTCTCCAAGCCCATTATCTTTTATTCTAAGATGAATAAGCCAAAGTGCTTGTTTTGGCAATATCATTCAGTGAATCAGCTGTATAGCACCATCAGGTGTGCATCCAATGATGCCCCCACAATGGGGAGGTTTACGGGGGCTGAATTTGGCCCTTTGGCTTTACAGTGAAGTAAGTTACATTAAGAGGCAAGTGGATACAAAGAGCTTGTCTGAAATATAATCAGAATTTCAATGATTTTAGGAAACATAGTAATAGCAGTTTCCAAGCCAGTGGCAAATCAGTGGGCAACACTGTCGAGAAGCCTGGAGTTTCTGTTATGAAAATTCTCTTTGTAGGGTTATCTTCTTTGTCCTTTTGGTAAGTGATTCTATAAAATGCAACATGTCAGTGCTGCTAAACTGAGTCCACATCTTAGAAGCTAACCATTATCCCACTCCGAGGGAATGAATGTCGCTTAGAAAAAAAGAGGTTGGGTGAAGCTTCATCGCGCAGTATAATAACTAGGCCTTTATTACGAATTCTGAAACCACGGAAATCCACTTAAGTGTCTTTCCAATTTATTTCTTCATGAATCATTTATTTTTCATGTTACCTTACAATAGTATTGATATCTCCAGACCATTGTGGTTGCATAGCACCATAAATGAGCACTGTTCTCACTCTAGAAATACATTTCTACATACATTCTAGAAGGGGACCCATAATAAAATCCTATAACTCAACACCCCAAACTTTAAGAGGGTCTGGAATCTTATCAGGGCTCCGGAACCAAATTAATGCTGACCATTCTTTGTATAATGCTGAACCAAAGCCCTGGATGCAAAGCTTCTGGCCCATCTCTAGCTTTTGATTAATGAATTTTCAGTGAACTGCAACCAGCATAGACATTATGGGTGAGATTTTCAAAAGCGCTCAGCATTGTAGCCCAATGAAAAATCCCACCCTGTATTTTCTCTGCCAGGTCAGCCCAGAGGTACAGAAAACTTTACTTAAATAGGTCCAATGTGACCTCTTGCGTTTTAGCAACTTTTCATAGCATTAATTTATTTGTTTTGCAATAGTGACCCGCTGTACAGAGTCAGTGTAGGAGACAATCCTTGCCCTGCAGATTGGTACCAGTAGATTTAGTCTTTGATTATAGAACAGGATAGGATAGTCTTTCTTCCTGATCCTGCAAAGAGCTGATGGACTCTTACACCTAAGTGGTGTCACTGATATTTGGCAGGTGCTCAGAGATACAGTCAATGGATCTCTGCACAGCATAAGAGTCTGCCTCTACTAATCTTTTGCAGGACAGGATCCTGATGCTGTCAATTTCTAAACTGGCTGAAAACACATGATCTTGTGACTCAATAAGAAAACACATGTACAAGTTGTACTGAAGTAGGCTCTTGCCCATAGAATACCTCTTCGGATAAATCTGGATACCACATTTAGTAGAATGGCACAGAGTGGCTCCCTTTATTAGAAGTATGGGTTGATTCTCAAATTTCTTGTCAAATCTCCATAAAGGACACATTTGTGGTTACTGGAAAAACATTGCTCTCCATTCTTATATAAACTTCAGTTTGGCCTTAGATCTTTCTGCAGATGAAGACTATACATGTCATTACACACCATTGATTTTCCCCTAGCTAATCACACATGAACGCTACAGACTCCTCCCATGCACACTGCTCTGTGAAAATACAGTCCGTCCGTTTGCTTCTGCCCCACTAAACTCCCGTTTAGATTTTCTAATCAGTAGCCACCTAAAATTGTTTTGTTGCCTTTTTAGTGTTTGCTTTGATATTGCAGCTGGCTGAGGAGGAGAAAAAGATTTGTGAAAATACTTTCCATTTCGTTTTTGGTTTTCAGAATTTCAAAATATTTTGCTCAGTGTACGCTGAACTCGAGCTCAGTAGCTGACACTCAGAAATACATTTGAGTTGGAAGAAATTGCATTAATACTTTTTAAAATGTTGTATTTTATTTAACTGCCAAGGGGGTATAGATAGGTGCATGTTTGTCAGAACCCTTACTAAGGAGACTTGAACTATGTGAGCTTTCT